GTAAGATCCTATATTTATCACATAATGTACTGTGTTATCCAGTGAATATACCCATGCTCACCGGAGGCTCACTAAATTGAAAAATTCCTAGACTCGTTTCATAAATTTCATATGAAATGGAAACTCACGTAAGATCCTATATTTATCACATAATGTACTGTGTTATCCAGTGAATATACCCATGCTCACCGGAGGCTCACTAAATTGAAAAATTCCTAGACTCGTTTCATAAATTTCATATGAAATGGAAACTCACGTAAGATCCTATATTTATCACATAATGTACTGTGTTATCCAGTGAATATACCCATGCTCACCGGAGGCTCACTAAATTGAAAAATTCCTAGACTCGTTTCATAAATTTCATATGAAATGGAAACTCACGTAAGATCCTATATTTATCACATAATGTACTGTGTTCTCCAGTGAATAGACCCATGTCATATTTGTTTGCGTATTGACCCATGTAATAAGATCCTTTTCATCACATAATCAAGATTTGTGGCATTTTCTCGTGTAAAATGACAATTTTCATGCAACCTTGAAATGTAAAAAGACGCCATTTTGACTCCAGTGCATAAGTCTGTTATGTCCTAGGCGTGATGTCACAATTGAAACTTACAACCAATCACAGGGGTGACAGGTCATATTACGTGGGTTAATATGCAAAAAAAAATGACATGGGTATATTCACTGGATAACACAGTACATTATGTGATAAATATATATATATATATATGTATTTCATTTCTGAAACTGTACAATTCCAACACATATTTGACAAAAAAATCATCAGATTTCAGCAAAAATATATTAGCATATTTACATATAGGTTGATACTATTAGTCCCGAGTAAGTTATGAGATACAATATATTTTCAATAGTAGTCTCTGACAAAAATATATACATCGACAATGGTGAGTAACACAAGCACTGCCACTGATATATGTCTGCCTGACATCACACCTAGCACAAGTGCTGTCCTGAGTAGTTAGTACTGGCACATGTATAAAATTTGCTCATAAGTTGATTTGTGCATCCATGCAATAAACACTACTATCAGTGGAATCCACTTAATGTCATGATTTGGTTAATGTCATGATTTGGTTAATATCATCTTTCCTGAAACACCATTTCATTCTCAATAAATACATGTATATTGTATATATTGTTTGTACTTTGGTTTCTTTTATATCATATGACTTGACATGAACTTCTCTTACTATCCTGTTTAAGAGCCAGTTGACCAACATATCACATGTAAAAACTACCTGTACAGGTGTCCATTATGAAAACATTGCTGATTTTTCTTCGTGTGGCCCTGAGGGTCCATTTTCTCACTGTGACTTTGCAGAATTTCATATGGGTTTAACAAAACTTAAATCGTTATGGTATAAAACTGTTAAATTTTACACTGAAAGTAGTTCCTGTTAATGTAACAGTTTGCTTTATATCACATATTACTTTATATCACATTTTCCTTGAAAGACATTAATTAAGAGGAATGTTTAGCATCAGTATACAATTTATCACAGCTAAACAGTTGTGTAATAGAAAGTATGATATAGCTTCGTCTTCATAAAAACAAATGCCGTCTTAACATGAATGTTAAGTTTGGCAATAAAACCTAGATCTTCTTATAGTGTGAACATTTATATTGATGTCGCTTGAAAGACGTCTTTGTTAATGTGATTATTTTGATATTGTGAATACCAACCTGATAGAGTGACCACCAATAAAAGGGTATGTGTACTGATACAATGTAAAACATGCTGTTTAAATGTTTGTGTTTGAACACGTTAACTTCACAAGGGTTGGCACAAAAGCATTTTTAATGTCAGGAAGTGACAAAAAAAGTAATTAACTGTCCTATCCTGAAAAGCCTTTAAAGTTTAGTGGAAAAGCAACTTTGATGTTAAAGCAATTGAAAATTAAATGATAAATTCATAAAATTGATATCCAAAATATATCATATTTATGACTTTTACAACTCAGTCATCATCTTCTTCTGTCAGGCGTTGGTAGCTTTTGTCCCCAGGGTTTTGAATCTGTTTCTCTTCACGAGATTTAAATGAAGATACTATTTCTTCTATAGTTTTTCCTTTGGTCTCCGGAACTTTAAAAAATGTGAATAGCCAGAAAAGTACCAGCATTCCGACAAAGGGAAGAAACGAGTAGCTCGTAATTGCCTTCTACAAAACATAGAGAAAATAGGATGTAAATATTAAACACGATAAATATCTACTACAGAAAATAGGTATCATATCAAACAATTAGAATCCGAGGTGTCATCTTAATAGCTTTTGTGGTGTTCTTATTTTAGCACTTTACAAAATTATACTGATTTACTAATTAATGTACAGGATTTACCATATCTATCTGTCAATAAGCCCATGCCTGGTAATAAGCCCACTCCTACTTATTGCAGTTCAGTTCATTGTCCTGTAATAAGCCTACCTGCCTTTTTTGAATCTGAGATTATGTGTTCCCCTTCCCTTGGGCTTATTAGAGTATATATACAGTAATATAATTCTGTTTTGTATTTTTTGTATGTACTGTTTACGAGAAAAATTGTGTGTACTAATTTAGAGATGAGTTTGAGTGTACTACCCCGGGTTTCTAAAAGAATCTAAAGTGGTCTGTAATTAATCTTCATATCTTAGAGAAACTTTTACCTGAAGATTTAGCAACCGTTAGTTTCTCAGAAGCAAAAGATTAAGCATTATGATGTTTTGACAATCTTTTTACCTGTATTTCTGGATATGAAAGTCCCACAGTGAAGTTGGCAAGCCAGTTGGTCAGTACAGACAAACTGACCGCTGCTGACCTTGGTCCCTGAGCAAATAACTCGGCTACGTAAAACCATGGTATAGAACCTGGACCTGTGGCGAAGGAGACAATGTAGGCCATGACCGCAGCAATACTGACGTACGACAGCCATGAAGCATCATCCTGTAACATACAACGAAGACAAAACTTAATTAGACTGGCCAACACATCAATAAATCATGTGGGCTAATAACTGTAACTCTTACATTTGGCGTGCAGAACAATTTACAAAAATATGAAGAATTGAAGTAAGGTGGTTACCAACCACTTGTCAAAGCCATACATCTAAGAGTTAAGATTGAACTGGTATGTATGCTAAATATAACACATGTGACCTTGAAAGTGTGTAAAGGTCATATCTTTTCATCCCTGCATGCTACTGGCCAGTTATCATGAATCTGTTTCTTTCTTATATAGAAAAAGTTTCATGGTTATTTAGTAGAGTGTTTTTTTTTAAATATTTTAACTCATTTGACCATGTGACCTTGAAAGTGTGTATAGGTCATTTATTTAAACAAACTTAAAAGTCCTTCATCCAAGGCTGCTGCATGCTAATTTTCATGACCTTAGGCCCTAGAAAGTTAAAGCAGATAAGCAAACAAAAGGCCCATGGGCCTGAACAGTCACCTTAGTTGTAATACAGTTGTATTTTATTATTGACACATTATGTGGAAATATGGCAACTGTAGATTTGCTAATATAATGATGTTGGGGAGTGACCAACATATATTAAGCATGCAACCGTCAGAACAAGCCTAATTAACTTCTTTAGTCTCCAGCATACCAGTTATAAAATGTTAATGTTTATTATGTAATTACAACTTAGAAACCCCAAGCTTTATGATCCTTGAGAGAAAGTGTTTCCCCTCTATAAACATTTGTATGCTTTACGCCTCCCAACAGGGATTTGACCTCTTTGGTCGTCCCTCAAACCCTTGAGGTGGGTTAGTATCTTCATTTTTATACAACATTATAACAAACTGCTCTCCTATGATAATACTTCAGCTAATTTTTTACTGCAATTAGTTAATTTAAAAAGGTTTTTGAGAAAACATTGTAGATGTGAATTGTCATTAAAAGACAGAAAACATAAGATAAATTATGAAAGATGTCACAGGTCACTTAAAAATACAAATTTTCATTTGTAAATCATGCCTCAAAGAAACGTTAAACTTGTGACTCCCAAATCTTAACCCCCATGCTAGAATTTCTCAATCCTACATACATAAACATATGAAATTAATTTTTTGTCCATAACAAAAACAGGTACTTCAATAATATTCAGTAAAATGTGGGTTTCTTTCAGAAAAAAGAAATTGTATGTAATTTTCACTTAGAAATTAATCGATGACACCTAAAATGTCAACTTACCTGGAATATCAATGCCAAAGACAATACCGTACCAAACACTAGCATACCACCGAGTCCTACCAGGTGTAGAGTCCGTCTCCCCACCCTGTCCATGATAATAGCCGACACGAAGGTCATTAAAACATTGACCGCACCAGTCCCAAGGGTGGCATACTGGGCATTTAGCTGAGACAGCCCTGCACTCTCAAATATAAGGGTAGAATAATAGATAACCTGAAATAAATAAATACAAAAGTTTATATGTAGAGAGTTTTATACAAGTTTCCATTTTATATTAGATTTATGAAACAAATCTAAATGGAAAAATGTGTTACAAGTGTCATATGAAATGGAAATAAATGTAGGATTATGTTTATATTGCATAACAAAGATTACCCTATTGAAATATTCACAAACACAATAATTTCTTAAGATGATTTGGAGTCTTAAACATCAACATTTTGACTCCAACCCTTTTCCATCCCTGTTGAACTATTGAACTACTTTCAGTCAACGTTCATACTCCAAATTTCATGAAGAGCACTAGATAGTTTCTCATGGGATTTGACATTATCTGGTTAAGATTTATATTGGTTATTGACTATAAATACCAGCTGAAAGTCATAGGTGTTCAAAGTTTAACTAGTCTGATGTTTATTTTTATTTGAAACTTCAAATAGGGTGACATATTTGGTATAAACAAGAGTTCCAGAGGGCCTGTACAGCTTACCTTCAGTTGATATTTAAGCAAGCAAGGCAAATTATTTTCTTTTTCAGTAAAAGACATTCGATGTCCAGAAATGATTTTGTCAGTATTTAGTTTGTAGACCTCGGTTTTAGAATGATCTGTGATGCTTAAAAATTATTTTTACCCATAATATTATTAAGTGCATGCAGCATTAGAAAAAATCTGATGTAATGAAATAATTTCAGTACTTACAGCATTGATACCACTGAACTGTTGAGACAGCTGGAGCACCAAACTTATTACCAACGGAGTGAGGAGTTCTTGGCGCTTGAACAAATCTGTGAAGTGGAACTGCAACACAAGAAATCAAGAACAGCTTTAAAAATATTTGTAACAGTCAGTTTCTGACTCAAGAGGGGGCTACGGGGATTTGCAGAATTATAGGGCTATGAGACTATGGGACTTTGAACAGCATCCAGATTATGGGCCTAAGAGTACTATGAGCATATGGGGCTATGAGCAGCATTGGGATTATAGGGCTATGAGTACTATGAGTACTATGGGGCTATGAGCAGCATTGGGTTTATAGGGCTATGGGTACTATGAGTACTATGGGGCCATGAGCAGCATTGGGTTTATAGGGCTATGAGTACTACGAGTATTATGGGGCTATGAGCAGCATTTGGATTATAGGGCTATGGGTACTATGAGTGCTATGGGGCTATGAGCAGCATTGGGTTTATAGGGCCATGAGTACTATGAGTATTATGGGGCTATGAGCAGCATTTGGATTATAGGGCTATGGGTACTATGAGTGCTATGGGGCTATGAGCAGCATTGGGATTATAGTGCTATGGGTACTATGAGTACTATGGGGATATGAGCAGCATTGGGTTTATAGGGCTATGGGTACTATGAGTACTATGGGGCCATGAGCAGCATTGGGTTTATAGGGCTATGAGTACTATGAGTATTATGGGGCTATGGGCAGCATTGGGATTATAGGGCTATGGGTGCTATGAGTACTATGGGGATATGAGCAGCATTGGGTTTATAGGGCTATGAGTACTATGAGGATTATGGGGCTATGAGCAGCATTGGGATTATAGTGCTATGGGTACTATGAGTACTATGGGGCCATGAGCAGCATTGGGTTTATAGGGCTATGGGTACTATGAGTACTATGGGGCCATGAGCAGCATTGGGTTTATAGGGCTATGGGTACTATGAGTACTATGGGGCCATGAGCAGCATTGGGTTTATAGGGCTATGGGTACTATGAGTACTATGGGGATATGAGCAGCATTGGGTTTATAGGGCTATGAGTACTATGAGTATTATGGGGCTATGAGCAGCGTTGGGATTATAGGGCTATGGGTACTATGAGCACTATGGGGCTATGAGCAGCATTGGGATTATAGTGCTATGGGTACTATGAGTACTATGGGGATATGATCAGCATTAGGAATATGAGTACTATGAGTACTATGGGGCTTTGCGCAGCATTGGGATTATAGGGCTATGGGTACTATGAGTACTATGGGGATATGAGCAGCATTAGGAATATGAGTACTATGAGTACTATGGGGCTTTGAGCAGCATTGGGATTATAGGGCTATGAGTACTATGAGTATTATGGGGCTATGAGCAGCATTGGGATTATCGGGCTATGGGTACTATGAGTACTATGGGGATATGAGCAGCATTGGGTTTATAGGGCTATGAGTACTATGAGTATTATGGGGCTATGAGCAGCATTTGGATTATAGGGCTATGAGGACTATGAGTACTATGGGGCTATGAGCAGCATTTGGATTATAGGGCTATGAGGACTATGAGTACTATGGGGCTATGAGCAGCATTGGGTTTATAGGGCTATGAGTACTATGAGTACTATGGGGCTATGAGCAGCATTAGGATTATAGGACTATGAGTACTATGAGCATATGAGCAGCATTGGGATTATAGGGCTATGGGTACTATATTTCTCGCACCTCAGATAGAGATATCCCACGTCATACCCCATGCTAGATTTTTCTATCTCTTCCGATATGTCATGCACCTTTACGTGACATTTTGCAGAATTTTTAAAATATAATCTACACTGTGAAATACGTTTTCATCTATGTAAGAATGGACTACGTTTTTAAGCGGAAGCATTCAAACGTAGCTCATTTGAGGCCCCAGACAGGAAACTTAAAGTTTTTAGCAAAATATTTTGTTTTTCGAACTAAAAGGTGCGAAAAAAAAAACCAATTACCTGTAACGGAGACAGATCGGTTTATCTCAGTCTCGGGGCTAAGATTCTGTAACACCCAACCTTGGCTTACGCCTCGGTTGGGATTTGGGATTTTGTTACAGAATTTTAACCTTCGACTGAGATAACCCAATCTCGCTCAGTTACAGGTAATAGATTTTATTAATGAAGACTATAATTTGAGGTTCTTATATACCACTTCATCACAACCTAGTTTGTAGGTCGTCTCAAAGCGGTTCTCAAATTATAATCCGTGGTTACAGGGCCTTTGCAACCAGCCAATATCTTTCTCAACTCCCTGGGGAGCATATAACCGGTGCTGCCATTTTGGCACTCACAGCTTGCATTCAACAATTCTAGCACTGCCCAACCATGTACTCCTTTACAGCCGAGCAGAATGAACAAGCAGAGTAAAGTATCTTGTTCTGTCTTCGGTCACGAGCCCTAAATATGGGGCTATGAGCAGCATTGGGATTAATATAGGGCTATAGGTACTGAGGATAATGGGACTACAAGCAGCGTTGGGACTATGGACTATAAGCACCCCGAGGATTATGGGGTTATGTTGACTATTGTGCTGTTGGAGCTGTGAGGACTATGAAGCTATGAGCACTAGGCTGACTATGGGGCTATTAGAGCTATAGGGACTATTGAGCTTTTGGATATAATAGGGCTATGACAGCTAAGGAGTTATGGGGACCAATGAAGCAATGAGGGCTATGATGATCACGAGGGCTGTTTTTCTATGAGGGGGTATTGTACAACAGGGTTACAACATTCTATGGTGATTATGGGGTTATTGGAAATAAGGCTATGCAAGCTATCAGGCGTCAAGGTGCTATGGCAGGTATGAAAACTATGGGGTTTATGAGAACTATAGAGCAGTGGAAACTATGGGGGTTATGAGTACATTTGGTACTATGGGGTTATGGGGGCTATGAAAGTGCTACTCATTTCACAAACATACAAGTATACTTGTAATGTATGTAACTCTTTACTCCATTCTCAACAGAAAACATGACCAAATTCAGTTACCTTTGCAGCCTTTTTTGATTTTTCCATTTCGGTTTTCATTTCTCCGATTTCATCATAGATATCTGTATCTTTTCTCAGCCACACCAAAGCTACAAATAATGTTAACTTACAACACAAGTACCGGTATAATAATTCTGTAATCTACTAACATATTTTCACAGGGTAACAAACAGAATATTTTATAAACCATTTCTTTCATTCAATTTTTTTTCATGTCCAGTAGTTTACACTCAGTATATTGAAATGAAGATATATAAATTTCAAGTAAACGGCAAGATATTATCTGACACATAACAATGTTTAGAATAACTTTTGGAATAACCTGAAGTAGACTTTCAGGAAAGGACCCAGATTAAAAGAATCTTAGACAAAGATATTCCAGATTGGTGATTCATACCCTGATGATGAAATATAAAAGAAAACCTGAGGTGTACCTGGGATCGTTTTTTAATATTTTGTTCCTAGGGTTTGAATTGCCTTTTCTCTTGCTCTAGACACTTTCCCAGTGGTTTGGTGCCTCATGTTAAGATTCCGTATTATCCAAACTTTGGCTTACACCTTGGTTGGGAAGAATCTTAACCCTCAACTGAGATAACTTATACTTGCTCAGGTACAATTGTTGTAGACTCTAAAAGTCTATATTGAGATATTACCTTGTTCTGCCATATTCTCACTGCCTTTGTTTATCATAAGGTAACTGGGACTTTCTACACACCATGGCAGGGTCAATAACTGGAACACCATCGGTACAAGGGTGCATCCTATAACACAATATATCATAAACAAGTAGAGTTCATAAGTAAGACAATAAATACCAGTTTATACTAGATAGTCTATGTAATGGCTTCCCACTCTTACATTTTACTCAGGTGACAGAAAACTTAGATTTTAACTTAAGTTGTACTTTGCACTTGTGAAGATACTAGATAGTCTGCCATGCAAGAGGGAGGAAGAAGAAGGAGGAGAAAGTAGAAGGAAGGGAGGGGGAGGGGTAGCCTCTCCTTCAAGCCCAGATATGTTGAATTACCAAAGAAGACTTAAAATGGTATATGAGGAGATTTTTTTTGCTTGGAGGGTTCTATGTTATAATTCAATACAAAGGTATACAATTCCACAAGCTCCATACAGGACTGGGGATAGTAAATTTCACGTTAAGGCTCGTACACTTTTTCAATATTTACTATGAAAATAAATGTCAAAATCTCAAGCTTGTTATCTGAATACCTACTAATGAAATTGTGCACTTGAATGTTATTCAACACAGTTGGTATATTCCAAATACACTGAATTGTTAAAAATGGGGATGTTTCACTCATGCCCTAACAGATTTCAGTGTTAATTTCACTGCTTCACAAGAAGTAAGTAATTGTCACCAAGCTATACTGAGGTTAGTCTTACCCAGTAAGTAATGCCATAAGTCTGGGGTAGACAGAAACTGTCCTAGGCCTATTATCTGTGAGATGAGGATACCAAGACAGATGGCCAGCTGGTTGAACGTCCCGGCCAGTCCTCGTAAGGAGATGGGGGCAGTCTCGGACAGGTACAGGGGGACAATAGCAGTGTCTATGCCTGAAAGAAAATAAACATTAATGAAGATTAGTAAAGGTGTTCCAATCATACTACAGCTCAGGTGTCACTAGTTTGAGAAGGTTTTATTGATGTTTTTATTACGAGTACATGGGACACGTGTAGGGCGAAGAGGGCGGGGCTATGCGTGGTTGACAGGTGTATCGGCATAGGGGTAGAACTAATTGTATGCATGTAGTCGCATGTGCTAGTTGTTCAATAAGGGTGAGAAGAGGCTAAGGGGTCTGGGTACTCAGCATTCGAGCCTTGTAGTTCTATTGGACAACACGCATTTACACCCCTCTCCCCCTCCCAACACAAACATTTGTTTATGAAAATTGTGACTGCCCAGTTGGGTTTTATGTTATTTACAGATCCCATTCATGGAGGGAAACTTCGGATGGATCTCCATCAATTAAAAGGGATTAATTAAGCACGCATCGGGAAACCATGGAGAGAATTGAGGCGAGGCTGGAGAGTGTTCGTTTTCCCAGAAGGAACTTAGAAGATCTGTCGAATAACTCGAATAAATGCTATTGCTCACTACAGAGGCTTCCTCCCATACAAGGGTTGGTGTTTTCATGATGAATGATTTATGTTTGAGAAGGTCGAATTAGAACATAACCATAAATAGTTTGGGCTCTTTAGCAATTCTTAACGCAGTTCTGATAAGGGTGTGTTCTGATTGGAATCCCTTTACTTATACATGTATTTACATACTCCATACCGGTCCTCCCACACACCCTATGGTGTCCATACTCACCCAACTGATCTCCTCGATATCCAGCGGTTACGCTCACTTTTGCTCTCTACACCCCTGGACTCATCCTCGATATCCAGGGGTTACGCTCACTTTCACTCTCTGCACCCCTGGAATCATCCTCGATATCCAGGGGTTACGCTCACTTTCGCTCTCTGCACCCCTGGAATCATCCTCAATATCCAGGGCTTACGCTCACTTTCGCTCTCTGCACCCCTGGAATATGTCACAGCAAAATTGAAGGCACGAAGATAGCTGTTTGATTGCTCAAAAAACCCTGACCAATTGCTAGGCTGATACCTGTCCTTTGAAGATTACAAAGGAGAGACACCCGGCTTCAAAGCCTATCAATTTTTACTGTTACGTGCCCGCGAGATTCTTTTGATGTATATCAAAGGATTGAACTAGTCTTCTTTTCTCATCAACAAGGTGGCGCACACTGAGCTCTCAGTTTTGCTACAACATATTCCAGGGGTGCAGAGAGCGAAAGGGAGCGTAACCGCTGGATATCAAGGATGATTCCAGGTGTACAGAGAGTGAAAGGGAGCGTAACCTCTGGATATCAAGGATGATTCCAGGGGTGCAGAGAGTGAAAGGGAGCGTAACCGCTGGATATCAAGGATGATTCCAGGGGTGCAGAGAGCGAAAGGGAGCGTAACCGCTGGATATCAAGGATGATTCCAGGTGTACAGAGAGTGAAAGGGAGCGTAACCGCTGGATATCAAGGATGATTCCAGGGGTGCAGAGAGCGAAAGGGAGCATAACCCCTGGATAGCAAGGATGATTCCAGGGGTGCAGAGAGCGAAAGGGAGCATAACCCCTGGATAGCAAGGATGATTCCAGGGGTGCAGAGAGCGAAAGGGAGCATACCCCCTGGATATCAAGGATGATTCCAGGGGTGCAGAGAGCGAAAGGGAGCGCTACCCCTGGATATCAAGGATGTCACCTGATTTACCCACCAATACATCCAATATTTTTATTTTTCTCATAGTTTGTGAATCATACATGAATTTAATACAACACCTCAACAGGAATGATTTAAAATCGCTAAATTAATCATAATTATATAATAGTTTAATACCAGAATTTGTTCCGACTGTAATACGATATATATAGGATATGCTTATAGTGTAAATACACATAAACAGCATCACCAAAATGATTTATCATGTCTTAACTAGTAAACATTTATCATGTCTTAACTAGTGAATTTGTCTTGTCTTAACTAGTTAATGACATCTTACAATATCAATACAGAGGGGTAGATAGGGAATTGATAGTACTTACCAGAACACAGCCCAGCCACAAACCTGCCAGCTATGAGCATTTCATATGACTTGGCAAACTTTGAAGAAATGAGCAGGCCACTTGCTATTAAGTTGAGGAGATTATTTCTCAGTAGGCCCCCTCTCCTTGAGATATAAAACAGTAGTTTTAACACACATTGTTACACTCCTTTATAAAATGTCTTAAAAGGAAAATTGCACAGTTTAATATCCAAACAAACATGTCCAGAATTGTTTTATTGAGACAATGTTTTATTATTTTACGGGCATGAGATAATATAATCTGACCTGTAAACCTGATACACCATATTCAGTATAATTTGCATTCATGCAAAGATTCATCTTCCAACTGACATATCTTCTTTACATCGTTGGAATATGTCATTATAAAATCACAGGCTCATGGCCATGGTTAGTAATTTGATTAGTTTCAGGCAAAAATATCTTACTAATATGCCTGGCTGACATCTGTCCTTCAATGATCACAGAGGAGCTTCACCAAAATTAAAAATGATCAATTTTACCATTTTGCTGTCTCAGACTCCTTACATCTTGCATTAGTGTTCTTTTCCAGACTAATCTACTTCCATCCTCTACAAGGTGGCATCTAAAGAGCTTTTAATTTTGTTATGGCATAAGGGTGTAGAGTACATATGTATATCTAGATAAAACCCTCAGATTTTGAAGGTGGCAACGACAATAATCAATTATTTTTTAAATACACACAGATACTTGTCAAATCTGTCTAAATATGTAATTATAAAAAGTGCATGCAACATATCTCATATTAACCTTTAACACAGGATCTGAATATATGAACTAACCTGCCAAATCTGTTGGCTACATATCCTCCCGAGAGGCCCCCTATCATGCCCCCGATGGCAAAGATGGACACGGTAAACGACCACAGGAGTGTGAGGAGGGACGATGACATGTATTCCCCATTTCTGTTATAGTATGTGCTGTTGTAGAAGTCCTGGATCACCTTAAAATGACAAAAATTAAAATGCTTCAGTAGTTAACTCCAAAGATGGTTCGGTGGCGTTGGGTGGGGCAGTGGATAGCACACTTGTACTCTAGCTTACTCTGGTTTCCTCCCACATTAGGACATCATACACGCTTCCATCTGCACCAAAAAGTGTGATTAATATTAGTTAAAAAGTTCTTTTATAGTTGTTGTAAAGAAGATACTGGTAATTTTTTATATTTATCTATAGTAAATTCCATTTATTCTACAATATGTGTACATCATCACCAACAATATAGAAACGCTATCATAACAAAGGTTACACATCACTTCCATTCCAAGTTTATATAATTGTAACACCGGGGATCGAACCCACGATCTCCAGGATCCTAGTCGGACGCTCTTCCACTGAGCTAAAGGGAAATCCCCTCTAGCTCGAAGCTAGAAGGCGACCTTAATCCTATGTACAATTGAACTCTGCCACATAATTTATTTTTTAAGTTTTCCTTTTTCAAAATAGTGTTAAAAGAAATATGGCAGAAGATTAAAATGAAAATATGCTAAATTAATTGGAGACATGTGACTCTAAAATGAATCTAAAATGATTCTAAAATGAAGCCAATCTAAACTGTGAATATATACCCACCTCTGCAGGTTCATTCAGGACGCCAGTGTTGTAACCGACCACAAAGGAGGACCCCAGTGTACAAGATGTTATAGCAAAGGCCAGGCTGGACGTTACACTCCTCTGAAACAGGAAGATATATGTCTATGACATAAAAATATAACATATTCAGTCTTTCTTTTTATCAATGTACTTCATATCACTGTACACTTTCTATGTGCTTTTCCTGTTTATGTTTATTTTTACACGTGTCTTATTAATTTCGCTCTGATTTTATATCCAGTATATTCGTCTTTAGGGATCAGAAAATTGTCACCCGATGCACCATCAGTTCTAAGCAGGAGAAATAGCATTAGAAGACCATTGTGTCCAGTTGCAGCCACAGGGGCTAGGTTTCAGAATAATTTAGGTTAATAAAAAACCTATACACACCCGTAAATAACAGCAACACCTTTTATCCAGTGTTAATTGAGGGTACCGATGTATAAAATAAGTAACTACTCTTCCTTTGCCATACAAATGATTTGCCAGACTCTGTGAAATCAGTTAGACTTTTCACAGATGACTGCCTACCCTATCGAGAAATAATCTCAAACAAGGACCAGGAAACACTTCAAGACGACCTTAAACAGCTCGAAACTTGGGTTGCAAACTGGTGGATGAAATTTAATGCCAAAAATGTTACATTCTTTGCATTAAAAAGAAAAAGCAAAACACATACCAACTTAATGGACATAACTTAGATCACATACAGACAAGCACATACCTAGGATTACAACTATCAGGGGATATGAAGTGGATCGATCGAAAGAACATATAGCAAGTACCACAAAAATGGCCAGTTCTTACCTAATAGACTTCCTACGACGCAACCTACAACACTGCCCCAGAGAATGTAGAAAGACCACATAAATTGCTCTTGTCAGATCCATCTTAGAATATGGAGTAATAATCTGGGACCCGTACATAAAGGGAAACATTTACAAATTGGAAAGCATCCAACGGAGAGGGGTATGTTTCATCCAGAAGGACCACAGAACAAGGGAGGAGGGATTCATGACCAAACTACTCAAGGAGCTACAACTTCCACCACTAGCATCAAGACGGAAACAACAGAGACTAACATTCTATTATAAAATAGTAGAGGAGCAAATTCCATCAATGCCTAGCAAAGACTTTATTAATTTCCAACGTGAAAAAAGGAAAACACGACAGCGTATATTCAAGGACTGCGAGACATCAAGACCAATTCCAAATTCAATCAGGAACAATAACAGAGCAGTCATAATACCCAACAGCAACACGGAACAATACAGAAACTCATTCTTTGTGCGAACAGCCACAGATTGGATCAACCACCTGGACGACATCACAGTCGGGGCGCAAGGAATAGAGGCATTTAAAGCATCAACTTTAATACCAAATACCAACTGGGATTAAACGAAGCTAAGTATCGCATGCGTACTCAACCCCTCCGCATTAAAGCCATTTTGGTCTCTGTGGAGTATAACATATAGATAGATAGATAGATAGAACCGAGTCCCTGTGGTTGCAGCTTAGTACTAGTGAGCTACTGGTTGACAGCTGGCGTCCAACTCCTGTGGTTACCGTACCTTCTTTTCTACAGTCACAGAAATGGCGTTAATATCATTGCCTCTGTCTCCATTAAAATTGGAACTATTTCCCAAATCATCGAAATCGCTGTCGGAGCCACTACTCAACAGTGGTTTCCGTTCCATCTCTTTTTGAAACAGCTAGGCTGTTATGTTAACACCCCTACCGACGCCATTTTGATTTTGTCCTACATCACATGTGTATCACATGATCAAACAAGTCTGTACTAATTAATATAAGGGCGCCAATATATGATTGCTAATTCACACATCTGTAGGTCCTAAACGTTTTAAGTTAAATTCTTACTGTAAGTTCTTAAGTACTAAAGTTATCCAAAGGATCCCCTGGATGATTATTTCAAATAGATTATAATTTAGCTCACGTTAGAATCTAATTAGCCATGCATAGATGTATTATACTTCTCTAAATTAACAAAGTAAAAGCTGAAACTATGGCCGGAAAGGAAAATATAATTGTAACACAGATTAACATGTCGCCCTGGTAAAAGTAGTAACCGCTTCCTATCGACTCGGTTGGGAAGAAATCTGTCTTTGGTTCGTTTGAACAGTACGTATAGTATGACAGGGCATTCATGTCAAAAACGAGATAAACTAACGCGAAATCATTTAACGCATTAAAACATCATTTAACGCGTTCAACAAGGATTTAACGCGTTAAATGCTATCACGTAAAATGTACACTTTATCGCGTTAAGCCATAACGTGTTAAAAAATATTTTATCGCGTTAAATGCTAACGCGTTAAAATTAACAACTAATCAGATGCGTCCTTGCATATCAGCATCGTGAAACCAAAATGGACGCTGCAAGAAATGTCTTCCAAAGTGTCGGTGTATGTGTATATAAAAACTGTACTGTTTTTTTAGGAACTTTGCAATTTCAGTCTCCCCAAGTGTCCACGACCTTGACCTTTGACCCTGCGGCATGGAATTATATCCTGTAATCCTTATTTAGTGTGCTTTATGTTCCATACTTACCGTACGTTATGTTTAATTACATGTACCTCACTTTTTTCTCCTCCATTGTCCTAATAGTTTATGCTTTATTACTGTTTTATAACGAATAGGAATCTTGCCCAGTCCCTAAAACGAATCGAATAAAATCCTAGGCTCTGTTTAAACCATTATATACTTACCTTATATCACAACAGAGTCGTCTATCAACCACCTTCTATGGTTCACCATCCTACTCTAAATATGTACATATTTGTGTTTTCTCATATTTCTATTCCTCTTTCCTTTTCCTTGTCACTCTCGATATATCTTTATCTATCACTGTATTCTTCAAATCCCACCTGTCACTCTTACTCCTTTCTTTCTTACTCTTCATATCCTGTTCATCAGACGACTTCATATTTTTATGAGCGTGACACTACCACTGGCCACCTAGATGTTACTAGAAATTGTCATTTTTACCCTCCTTGATGGGATGTTGTACTGATACATGGAGGTGTGCCATTGGCATTTATTATTGTAAAACACGTTCTATATGCAAACGATTGAATTTTATTAACAAGACAGATTCCTTCGCCACGTTGTTTAAGACAGCTGTTTATTCAAGTATACTATTCGCATATCTAAGCTATATGCAAGCTTTAATTAGGCAAAATAATATTGTTCTCGTTTTATTGCTTTTTTTTTTTATTGTCATACGATATTCATCAAATCTCCAGTCCGATCTTGTATACACATACATGCGGATGCCTCAGTCTAACGGTAAATGATGACTGTATGAAAAACCTGATTAACCTTTTAAGTGTCTTTCTCTTTTCGTGCTTTCGAAATTCATTTTTTTCTGTTATTCACCTGCTTCTTTTATTAATGTATATGGATGTTGAATCTAATCCTGGTCCGAGTTCTGGCGAGCTTTCAGTATTAATAAGTTGGATTATATTGAAGACATAGCAGGAGATTATGGGGGGCTGTTATTGTTTATGTTAATAATTTGTTAAAAGTAAACCGCTTAGCATACCTTGACTATCATGGCGACGAAGCAATTTGGATACAAGTCATCTTGCAGCATACTAGTTTTATTATTTGTACCATAAACAGACCCGATTTAATCATTACTGGGGATTTTAATGTTGACTTTATAACTGTTGCAACAAATAATGTTTTCTTAGATATAATTAGTTCTTTTAGTTTATCAAATGTTATACTGGAACCTACACGTATAGGTCAGACTAGATCTAGCTTACTCGATCCAATTTTCTTAAGCGATTCTTTATCCGGTATTGACTCCTACATACATATAGATAGAACAGTCAGTGATCACCAAGGTTGTATTGTTAGTGTAGAACTACCATGTGCCTTTTAAATCTGTGTAAGAGCCGATATTGTAACGTTCAATAATCTTATACAATGTATCACAGTATACGACTGGAACGGGTCTTTTCTTCTAAACTGTGAATCAGTGGATATTGCTTGTGAAACTTTTACTAATGTATTTATAGAATTTGCTACAATGTGTATACCTACTAAGGAAGTTATAATCAGGCCAAACAACAAACCTTGGATGACCTCGGAATTAAGAAAAAATATAAGAAATCGGGATAGGTTACATAAAATTGCTAGGAAATCAAACCGTCTTCATGACATTCACAAGTTTAAAAGTCATCGTAATAAGGTAAATAATATGAAAGTGTAGAGTCGTTGAAATTTTTATGAAAATGTCCATGGCATAATTAATGATTATTTTTCTTCTGAACCTAAAGCGTATTGGAGATTAATTAAACGGTTGATGAAATCTAGTGGTACATCACAGATTATACCAACTCTAGTAGATCCAGTAACTGAGAATATAATTAGTAGTGATGAAGGTAAATCCAACTTATTAAATGAATAATTCTGTAGTATAACTCGTATTGACGAACGTAATGTTCGGGTTCCGAATATTGCGCCGAAAACCAATACAACTTTTGATTCAATTAGATTAAATTACACTGAAATTATTGATGTCCTACAAATACTGAAACTCGGCAAAGAATCGGGCCAGGACGAAATAAGCCATTACATGTTAAAGAATGTTTGCCATACTATTTGTAAACCTCTTGAGTTACTATTTAATATTTCACTGTCTGCTGGTGTTTATCCTAAGTTTTGGAAACTTGCAAAAGTTATGCCATTATTCAAAAAAGGTGATAGACATTCTCCCTTAAATTACCGACCAATTTCTCTCTTGTCTACTGTTGGTAAGGTATTTGAACGGGTTATTTTCAAACATAATATCTATAACCATTTTTTTTGAAAATTCGTTGTTTTATAAATATCAATATGATTTTCTGCCAGGACATTCAACGGTATATCAATTAATTGAAATGTATCATAAAATATGTTTATCGCTTGAAGAAAAAAACCATGTATTGTCTTTTGTGATATTTCAAAAGCCTTTGATAGAGTTTGGCATAATGGTTTGTACATAAAGTTAAAATCCTATGGAATAGGCGGAGAGTTATTGGTCTGATTAAAGAATTATTTACATCAAAGGCATCAAAAATTATGTGTTCTGATCGAGTCTTTCTCGAAATTAGGTTCTATTGATGCAGGGGTTCCCCAAGGTTCTATCTTAGGTCCTCTATTATTTTTGATTTATATCAACGATATAGCTGATATATTTGACTCAGCATCTCGTCTTTTCGCAGATGACACCTCTCTTCAATGCTCTTCCTCTTCCTGTCTTGAAATTCAAACTATCCTAAATAAAGAAGCAGTGTAAACTTCAGTTATGAAAAAAAAAAAATGTCTTAAGAAAATTGAAATTTCTATTAAAACGAGAGGCCCTAATAAGAATTTACCGAACGTTTATTTTACCTATTTTAGAATATGCATGCGAATTGTGGAATGGATGCTCTAGTTTCGAATCAGAAAAGTTCGAAAAAGACCAACGTGAAGCCGCTCGAATTATAACAGGTCTCCCATCATATGCTAGTATATATTCTTTAAATTTTGAAACGGGTTTAGAAACATTGTCTGCAAGAAGAAAAAGAAGAAAGCTTCAACTCTTGTTTAAAATGTATGTTAATCAAACACCAGACTATTTTTCTTTCCTGCTTTCCTCCATTGAACAAGATCTAGTTCGCTATCCTTTGCGAAATAGAAATGATTATAGAATCCCGTATTTCAGATTATCAACAACAAATTCATCTTTTTTACCGTCGCTGTTGGAATACCCTCGATAACTCGCTCAGGTCATCAGCTTCATTGAATATCTTTAAAAATTCCCTGAAACCCAACGGTCAATTTATTCCTCCTTCGGACATTTGTAATGGCACAGTTTAAATCGTCCGAAATCATTAATGACCTCCTAGAGGTGTCGCACGTCCTTTCACAGAACCAGTCTGCGTTTACAATAAGCTTTTCTTCTATTGATGACTCGGCATGCATGGCCTGGACAGGTTGGTCCAAAGATCAGTTCCTCGAAATCCACTCGCACTGTTCCCCATATCTTTCATCTGGTATATATACCAAGACTACACACGATGCTCTATTACTGTTCTGGGTAAAACTGAAAACCGACATTTCCTGGAGTCAGTGTTCTTCTCTTTTTGGAATTTCCAAGTCAAGTGTGTCCAAAACTTTCCACTCCATAGTACAGGCATTAGACACATCGATAGTCCCACAATTTCTAGGTCCGGATCACTTGACAAGAGAACAGTTGCTCGGGCACAATACTGTCTTTTCAGAAGCATTTTTTGGAGATAAAGCCACTGCCATATTAGATGGCACCTATATTTATATCCAGAAAAGCTCCGACCACAAGCTCCAGAGAATGTCCTACTGTGGCCAGAAGAAGAGAAACTATCTCAAATTCATGAGCATCGCCTTACCAGATGGCTACATTCTGGACACAGTAGGACCATTCACTGGCAGCGAAAATGATGCTACAATTACAAAAAAAGTCATGGACAAGCTAGTTACTTGGCTACAACCAGACGACAACGTTGTCGTTGACCGAGGTTTTAGAGATGTCCTACCAGTTCTCGAAGCCTCTGGCCTCAATGCTAGCATGCCGTCATACCTGAAACCCGGTCAAAGTCAACATTCTGACGTCCAAGCAAATCTTGACAGAACTATCACCAAATCGAGGTGGATTGTGGAATCCTATCATGGTCGTCTGAAACACTGGACGTTCTTCCGAACGCAATTGGTGTCTAACAGCTTTA